TGTAAAAAATTATTTTCTGAACATTTGTTTTCATTTTTCTTGAATGAAAACCTAGGTGTAAAACTGCTAACTCATAGAGTACATGTATGTCTATCTTTATAAGAAGCAGAATAGAAAGTGCCAGGTTCTCTATATTCTCATGAAAATTTAGTGTGGCCCTTTTGATTTGAGCAATTTTATTAGGTATGTAATGATATCTCTTTGTGGTTTGAAATGTATTACCTTGATGATTACTGTTTTTGAGAACCTTTATTTACCACTGAAATATCTTCTTTTGTGTATTATCTTTTCAAGTATTTGCTTCCTAATGTGTAAAGTATGTAGGAACTTTTATATATTCTGGATCTGAGTGCTTTCCCAGATATGCATGGTGAAAATATTTTTTAAATATTGATTGTGTATTCATTTTCTTAATGATATTTTTTAAAAGCATAAAAATTTTAATTTTGTTGAAGTCCAATTTACCAATTTTTCTTTTATTTTTTATTTTTTCTGTGTAGGCCTACTCCAAGATCATGGATTTTTTTCATAATTTAGAAGCTTTATATTATGTTTATGATCATCTTAGATTAATTTTTGTGTATAGAGTATGATGGGTTGAGATTTCTCTTTTTCATATGGATAGCCACTTGCTTTAGTAATATTTGCTTAAAAGGACTTTTACTTTTCCCATTAAACTAAGTTGGGGCGTTTATTGAAAATCCTTTGACTATATGTATATTTCTGTCTCCATTTTGTTTAATACTACACTCTTGTGATTAGTGTGTAGCATTATAGTAACTATTGACATCAGGTATTGTAAATTCTTCCACTTTGTTCTTTTTCAGTATTGGTCAATTATTCTAGATCCTTATTTCAATATAATTCTAGAATAACCTATTTCTTCAAAAATAACTTGCTGCAATTTTTGATAGGGTTTGCATTCTATATTTTAATTTAGAGAAAATGTTAACAATTCTGAGTTTTCTAATCTATGAACAGGATATATCACTGCATTTTCTTCGGCATTATTAATTCCCCCCGTCAATGTTTTATAATTTTCAGTAAGAAGATCTTACGGAGATTTCACGAGTTTAATTCCTGGTTATTTTCCATTTTCTTGATACCATTGTAAAAGTTTTGGATTTTTTTCTCTTAAGTTTCATTTCTGGTTATTGCTACTATATAGAAATACAGTTAAACATATATAATGACGGTGAACCCATGGTCTTCTGACATTCATATATTACTTCCAGGAATTTGTAGATTCCTTTGCATTCCTTTTGGTATGAAGAGAATCTTAAATCTCTCTTCTACCTCTATCTCCCAGTCCAGTTCCCCAGTTCTTGCTCCCAAAAGCATCACTGTCACCAGATTCTTTTATTTCTTTTCAGAAATATCCCATTCGTATATATACAAGCACCAATTACAGTTATAGTCAATACAATTTTACTCTGATGGTCCCTGATTCCACCTTTTTGGGATGCTCAAATGTATACTAGTATCTAAAGTTCATGTGAAAGCAATACACAAAGAAAACTAGTTTTCAAATACAGTTGTGTGCCACATGGTCAAGGACAGACCACTTATACAATGGTAGTCACATATTTATAATGGAGCTGAAAAATTCCTATTACCTATGACATCATAGGCATCATAATGTCACAGTGCAACATATTACTCATGTGTTTGTGGCAATGCTGGTTTAAATAAATGTACTGTGTTGCCAGTCATATAAGTGTGTAGCACATACAATTATGTACAGTATGTAATATTTGATAATGATAATAAAAAACTATAGTACTGGTTTATGTACTTATTATATTATACTTTTTATCATTATTTTAGAGTGTACTCTTTCTACTTATTAAAAAAAAGTAAAGTTTGCTGTAAAACAGTAAACCACGTTACAATGGCAGCAGCCTCATATATCTTATGTTTCCACATCTCTTAATTGCATCACTTTCTTTTTGCCTTGTATAGTTTTGTACAGTTATGTGCTATATAGGCTGCAGCATAGGAACTACATGCCATACCATATAGCCTAGGTGTGTAGTAGGCTAGTCCACCTAGGTTTTTGTAAGCACATTCTATGTATGATGTTTGCACAATAGCAAAATCATGCATGACTGTACTAAATTTGTTTTCTCCATATTTATAATAACAAAAAAAGAAATAATGCATTTCCAATGTTATGCAACAATACAAATTAATAGAAAATTCTACATATTATGAGCATTTTATATTAATTACTCCAGAGCATTATAATGTAGAATTATATATGTTCTGTTCTGTACTTCATTTTTTAGGCCAATGATTTTCAATCTTGGCTGTTCATTAGAATCACCAGGCTAGCTTAAATAATAACACTGATGTCTGGACTCCACCCCAGAGAGTCATATTTTATTAATGTGGGATGTAGACTGTGCAAGGGTTTTTATTTTTTTAAGTTCCCAGGTGATTTTAATGTATAGCCAATTTGAAAGCTACTGTTTTAGACCCTGCTCATTTTTTCTATTAAAATATTATATATATTTTATATATATATTTATTTATATCTCTTCAAGGGAGATTTTAAATACAGAACAAGTCTATATATAATAGTTTGTATAGTTTGTATTTGTAATTTTAATAAATAATTTTAATAAGTAATGTTATTTTAAAAATTTAAAATATGGAAACATAAAATCTGAATAACTTTACATAATGCAATTTTATCTTTCTGTGTTATGTTTCTGAATGCCCCAAATGAACATCTTAGGAATGAACTGTAGCCTGTTCTTGTTAAGAGATAAGTGCAGATTTCTTTCAAACACAAAATATGTTACAAATGTTTAAACACAGAAAAAATACAAATAGGATTCAAGGGGAAAAAATTCAAAAGCACTGATTTCATTGATACTCAGTACCTGTTGTTAGCCTTTTGTAGTCATGGAGAATTGCTTGGGGCTAGTGTTGCGATACTAGGTCCCATGATCTATTTGTCTGATCCAGTCAGATTTTTCTTACATTTTTATATTCTAAAATTTTAAAACAATATTTAAAAGTAATACAAGGAATACAGAAAACTAATGTTATACATAGATTAGTAATTTCAGAGGAGTTTGTTTTAATTGTTAAAATGAAATAACCGTATAAATAGTTTAGTACCAAACTTCATATTTTTAATGATCACTATTTAAATTCCAACCATTCTAACACATTTCTTGAATGTCTGAGATTTGCCCAATGCTATATTAGAACTTCTGCAGAGTTCAAGCCAATCTTAAAATCAAAAGTTAGGTATAACACAGGCAAAATGAATATATTACAAAACAGCACTCAACATATTGACACGCGTTTGGTTCTGGTTAATCATTAGCAGGCAGGCAGGTAGGCAGGAAGTATAGAAGGAAGGGGAGTGGAGGGAAATCGGGTTATCTATCTACCTATCTATCTATCTATCTATCTATCTATCTATCTATCCATCCATCCATCCATCCATCCATCCATCTACCTACCTATTTGGTAGAAAAGTGCATTTCAAGTCTATCATGAGAATGTCTACAGAAATATAAAATGTTTCTGGAGTGAGATCTAGATATAAATTCCTCCTTTGCCATTTAATATCTTTGTAATATGGAGAAATAAACTCTTTGAGATTTACATTTCTCATTTATTCAAATGTACGTAATAATACTTCCTAGGGATATTATAAAGATTGAATGTGATCATGTTTATGAAAATGCTTAGCTAGGGGGTGAGTTGGGATCTCATTCATTATTTAATTTTTGTAATTATACCTAAACCACTTTTGCTTTTATAATCCTATTTGAATCTGAATTTTATAAGATGCATGTTTATGTGTAGCAACCACCACCAAAGAAACTATTTTCTCTTCTAATTGATTTATTTTACTAGTCTGAATTGTTAAACACTTCACTGTTCATCTCTAAAATGGCTGAGAATAAGGAGTCAATCTAAGGGAAATATGAAAGGGAAATAAACATGTCCTAAATTGTATATTGACATGTATAGTTTTATTATTTTTATGTTATTAAATTTATACCATCTTGATGTTTCATACTCTTATTACTCAGTGTGTTTTATGGACCACGGACAATGTTATCACTAGAATTGTTAGAAGTCCAGATTTACTTGATTGCAATCTCCATTGTAGCAAAATTCCCAAGTGATTTATAAGTATGCACATTAAAGCTTCAGAAACACTGCTTTAGACTATATATAATTAGATACTACTCAGAGAAATTTAAACATATATGCCCTAAACCTTAAATAAATTATTATTGCATGCATTCTGATTTTGGCTTATATGGACAATCAGATTTGTTGTAAAGAGCACTAAATCAGGAGTAAAAGCACACTTTTAAAAAAATACTGTCTGTGCCTCTTACTGGTAGTGAAAATTCATCAAGTTTCAAAGCTTCTAAGAATCTCCATTTTCTCATTTATAAAGTGAAGAGATAGATAATACTTCTCCTGGTGCTCAGTGATATTGTTTAGAGGTTTAAGTGAGATGGCACTTTATTAATTATCAAGGTCTGTCCACATTATGCATTATAATAGTTTATGAATTTAGAGCATCTGCCTACAGGTAGAGCTTCTTAGGGAGGAAGAAAGATGACAACATCAGAGTTTCATTAAAAACCATGTATTTTTGCTGCTTTATAGCAGAAATAGAATGTAGCTTAAGGAGAAAGCGTCCTAAAGAGAAAGGTAGTTTTGGATAATCTTGTTGTTTTGTTTTGTTGATTGATTTGTGTTGACTTTGTGTGGGTGGTCCAGTCACTTGCTTTGTAATCAGCTTGTGATGAAAGAATGTCCAATAACATAAAACAAAACAGAAAGGTAAAATTTATTCAGTATTTGCCTTCAGTTTTTCTAGGAATGCTTCTCAGTTAGTAATTTAATTAAGGTCTAAGGAAATGTTATATGCCCCGGATTTGGCATGGCAATGAGGATATCATGAGGGATGTTTTCATGGAAGTCAATGGTGCAAACTCGGGTTCTTTCTATTACAGATAAAAAAACGTGTGGACCTCATGAATTCCAGTGTAAAAACAACAACTGTATTCCAGATCACTGGCGGTGTGATAGCCAAAATGACTGCAGCGATAATTCAGATGAAGAAAACTGTAGTAAGTAACTCTTTCGTAAGAATGTTAAGAGCTGACAGGCTATTCAATAGGCAGGATAGCAATTTTTAGTTCAGTAAAGGTATGAATATGAACCTATCCGCCCTGCAGCTCACATTTTTATACATATATTCACATTTGGACAAGAATATTCAGACTAAATTGACCTGAATCTCAAATGGTAGAATTATTGAAATGCTCATCCCAGGAGTTATTTTCTTACAGTTATCAGAATTGGTATGAAAGTATCATGAGGTTTAATGCAACCCATTAGTATGCAATGGAGGAAGCCCTTGATGCAAGCTCATACAAAGATCTGAATGATGTGGAGACAGTACAAAACATATCATTCTTTAATGCATGGTATTCATTCCATTTCAGTCTCAAATACTTTTATGCTGAAGATTCACCCATGAGCTTCTTTCAGTGAAATATCATTTATTCTCTCCGGAGTGGTGAACACCATATTTTTTCAGGATGCTTTCCTCTGAAAATATAATAACACTATTATCATTATCTGCCTCCTGCATTTTTATGTCATAAATTTAAGAAACAAAAATTATCCAACAAATTTATTTTCTAAAAAGTATGGGAGTATGTAAAATGGTGACGGTATCTCTATATTCTAGCACTGATTTCTGAATATATTTCTTGTCACTTTCTTACACTGCTGTTTAAACAAAGATATAAATATAATCATGTTTAAAATAAGATAATCAAATTGTATTTATTAAGTACAGTAAAACCTTTGATTGCGAGTAACTTGGTTTGCGAGAGTTCCTCAAGACGAGCAAACATTTCTAATACATTTTAACGTGGTAAAGGAGCGATGTCTTGCAATACGAGTAGTTTATTTCTGAACTGAATTATGCTCACAAACCAGGGTATTACTGTATTTATATTCTACTACTAAAAGGGATTTGATGATAACAGTAATGTCTGCTTTTATTAAATGGACTAAGAACCTTAATTTCATAAGAAATAGGAGATGAAATAGAAATTCTTATATTAAAGCATAATAATATAATATATAAAAGCATACAAGTAGTAGAGTCACCACCAAAATAAACCAGTTGGATACTCAGTTTGCAAAATATCAACTAATGTTTTGAATAACTTTCAAAACTTAATCGGACTAGTGTTTGAGAATCTGGTATATTAAGTATGAAATATCTGGATCATTATGATTATGGAATACTCTGAATATAGAAATCTTTATTATTCTCTCTTCACATAGATATCTCCCACTGATCATACTCTTTAGAATAGGAAAGGACATCACACAGAGTCATTAAAGAGTTCTAGATTCCATTAATCAGTAATTTTTAAAATGTTAAATAGCAAGTTCTCAGATTCTGTCCAGTGAAATAAAAGCCTAGTGGGGTAAGGGTGGTAGGAAAAGAAGAGTAAATACAAAAAAGAAGAAATTGTGCATATACTTTCTATTTAATTGATTTGTATTTCAGAGCTTAAATATACAGATAACTACTTAGGTTAATTTTGGGTACATTTAGTGCTAATTATCCATAAGATACCTGAGAGGAAATGCCCTTTGACTGAAGGATATTGAGAGCAAGAGAGGGTAGATAGGAGGGCAACACTGGAGACTTACATCTTGGAAAACAGTCTATTAAAGTGTTAATTGAAATTGTATGAGAAGTTAGGTTACTGCTATAATAAGAAAAGGAGAAAATGAAGGATCAAGATAGCCTGCTTCTGGGTCCGCTGAGGCTTCCTAAGTGGCTGAGTATCGTTTTGCTAACATCTAAAAGCCAGCCTTCGATGCAAGAAAGCCAGAAGGAACACTACCTCTCAAATGTCACCGCGGAAACTTTGTGATAAATCCTACAGAGCCCTTAAGAAAAAGCAAGCGAAGTGGTTGTAATATCAAGCTTTGCTGTAAAGTACTCAATTCTGTGTGGCTCTTTTTAGGTCCTATTCACTTTGAACTTGTGGCCTAAGATAATTAATATTCATGAATTTGCAGAGGAGAAATGACAGTGCCCAAGAACGAAGCATGTTAGAGTAGTGACATGGAAGAAAAGAAAGCATAGACAGAACAAGTATCAGAGTTGGGAACATGGGAAACCTGTGAGAATATGTAAGAGGGTCAAGGGATCAAGATAAAAAGTGGTGTTTGAAGATACCACCTTGAATAGTCCAGGAGAAATGAGAAGGTTTGAACATTGAAAATGCCAGCAGTTCTACGTAGACAAAAGCTAAGTCTGTGGAGAATGGAAAAGAGTACAATATATCAGTAGGGAGCACCAAGAGATTAGTCATGTAGACATCAGTCTTAGAAAAAATACTGTTACTGTATTAAAATGTTATCAAGATATTTTCAATTTTTTCTATCTACTGAAACTATTATAATTATATGTATATAAGTACAATGAAACTTATAAATCTACCTGTAGAATTACAATATACATATTGTAATTACAACTATATATAATATCACATAATTATGAATATAAGTATAATGTATAGAGAGATTACAACACTATACCCAAAATGGCACTGGCATATCATTATTATATTTTGTAAACATCATTAGTAAATGGTATGCATTTTGTTTCACATTTGGTGTTATTGTTACCTAATATTAAGTAGTGAAACATACGTAACAGAGATAGTAAATCAGCCTTACAGTTAAAAAGCAAAAGCAACATTTCTTTTTTACATAAGTGTATTTCATCACCATAGCCTCATTTATTTCTTTATCACATTTATCTTGAGCTCCTATTTAAGTATCTGGAGATGGTCAAGGGAGTAGGGCTATGCCCCAGAGCCTAGCACACTGCCTCACTCTTATTTATAATATTAACAGTGTATTTTTAAAATCACGTCTGGACTTCTTTGTTTATGAATCTGATCTAATGAATTTACTTTTTAAATTGTGTTGGAAACACTCCAGGCACAGATATGGGAATAGTTTAAATAGTAGTGGAGCAATTAACTGCCAGCTATGTTTTAAATTTAATATGCTTTGTACTTTTTTACATTTACATGGGATAATTAATCCACTGTTACTTCATTATCATCTGCTGATCATTTCCCTTATTAAATGTTCATCAGGAATGCTTTGCTTTAGCAATGATTTCTGCTCTTAAAAACAAGAAAATGTCATTATTGTTGGAGTTATTTTGTAATCTAGATCAAACGTTTGGAAATATTTGAGAAATCTCAACATCTATATGATCTTTTTCAGCAATGAATATAATATATATGGCATGTATCTCTTCCAAGTAATTGATGTGCAAAAATGTTTCTTCACATCTTTGCATTATTAAGAACTAACAATCCAATAGTTTAAAAGTACCAAATAATTTGATCAACTAGTTTAAGGTTTATGTAGCGGGAAAAGCTGTGTCTGCTTTCTTTGAATTTCTAATACTTTCACACTGAATTTATATCAGATTATTTGTATAGCCTGTCAGTTATAGTAATTGTATTCTAAAAATTCTCCTCAGATGCTTACACCCACATTCATATAACTTTTGAACTTATCACTAAGGGTTTATAATAATATACTCATTAGAGTAATTGGAGTCTGTAAACCTTTCTGCTATGCCACAAACAGTATGGCTTTGAAAGTCACATTTATTTTCTGAACTGTTTTTTGGATTTTGTGCAAGATAGCTTCCAAAGCTCTTTTTAATTCTGAAACTATGTTTTTGACTTCTGTAGAATCAAGGAAGTGACTAGTCCATATGAAGGTGGACAAAATGGCTTTCATAGGGAGGGACAAAAGAAAAGTGATTCTCTTATTATTATTCTCTTATTATTAAGTGAAATAGACATTGCTAGCCATGTGCCTTGGACAAGTGTCTTGACTTCTCAGGGATTTAATGTTAATCTCTCTGATCTGTGAGAACTTATTACTTCCTCAGTAATATGGGAAGCAGTAACATGGCTTAGTAGTAAGAAGTTTAGGCTCTGGTACCAGGTCATCTATGTTCAAATTCAATACCAGTTTTAATGCTTGCTGGGTGATTTAGAGTAAGTTCCTTATTCTCTCTGTGCCTCAATTTACTCATCTGAAAAAGGCCCCAATAATAACATCTACTTTATAGAGTAGTTAGTATAGATGAGTCAATTGAATTACTTAGTATTAACTTCAACTAGGGCCTAACAACAAATAAGCAATCAGTAGCTGGTAGTAATTGTTATTGTTATAATTAGTAATATTGATAAAGTTGTTTCTTAAGATTAAGACATAGTATATGTATACATAAAGCAAAAAAAAGTTGTTATTGTCATTCTCACAAACAAAGAAGTATTGAGACATAAAGGGGGTTCTCCAGTTAATGACATTTTTTTCATCCTAATAAATAGCATTTTGTCTTTTTGTATAGCCTGAAGTTTACATTTTAAAATAAAGTCAGTCCCAGAGCAGAACAAAATGTTCTGATACATATTACACTTTCCACGGTTCCCCCAGTGTTCGCAGCAGGGATCTTTATATAGAAAGGTAGGGGCCTTTATGATACCGTACATTCAATATGTTATCCTGTAGCTAGAAACCAACTGGTTGTAGAGAGTGATATTCAAATGCAGGCTCTTCACAAAGATATGCACAATCTTTATGTAGAAAATTAGGCTCCATATGGGTGTTCCTTAAATTTAATTTTTGTTACCTATTCCTTCTTCCCCTGAGAAAGAATATTACTGTGTGTGAGACAGATGCAAATACAGTTAATGAGGAGAGAAGATGTGTTTCGTCATGCCAAATATCGCTTCTGCTTAGAGAACCAAAACTAAACAAGAGATGACCTCCAGCAGTCATAGAGATCACTTGCAGGAGCAAATTTCTGAAATTCTATGTTATTGTCCAGATGAAATATTTTCCACTTGGGACTTAAGCCAAATAGCAAGCCATGTTGTTTGGCTTATGTCCTATGTGGAATATGGTGTGGCATAATTAAATCAACAAGTGGCAGATTGTCTAAAATGACAGATAAATTATATAGGCATAAGCAAACAATGGCATAAACAAGTAGGCAGTTTTCTAAAAAAGAGCCTCCTTCTGTCTCTTCAACCCGTATTCACCCAGGCATGTCCAATAATATCCTGAGGTGTCCTTCTTATTCTATGAAATCTTGAATTTCTGGGGACAAAATTGAAGAATTAGAAAGTCATTATAATATATAACAAAAAAGTCAAAAACCAAAGGCTGGACTCACTCCTCCATTAACAAACAGTCCCATGAGAATCACAGACTGCCTTACTTAAATACATAAAATGACTTTGAATTGCAACAACTGGAAAATATTATTGTTATACCACAATATGTGTTTATGTCTTTTATTTCACTTTGCTACTGTATTTTTATTAAACAGTGGGCTATTTATCTTCTGTCTTTTTTTCAATTTGTTTCTGTAATGCCACTTTGTATTCATGACTTTAAAAACAAATTTGAAAAATCATTATATTATGTACCATAGATGCTTCATGAAACATTTTTTCAAAACAATTTTTTGGTTTTGCTTGGCTAACCACATTTTCTTAATGTTGTATGTTATATAAATTTCAAAACGCAGTCGCATATAATAGAAAAACCCTGTGCTGTTTTTCTGCCCACAGAGCCACAGACCTGTACACTGAAAGATTTTCTTTGTGCCAATGGGGACTGCGTTTCTTCAAGGTTTTGGTGTGATGGAGATTTTGACTGTGCAGATGGCTCTGATGAGGTAGGCAAGTTTGAGACATCCAACTAAAAAGAAAGCAGTCCTTTAGAATCACATTTATAATTATTGTTGTTCGATTGAATGAGTGTGACAAGGACAGCTCTGAAATTCACTTCGTTCCTGACACACTGAGATAAGTATTCTATCTATGCTCTGTGCTGCACACACCGAGCACAGGGAATAGCTCTTGTGATGCTATTGACAGTTAATTTTATAGTCTGTTTTACCTCAAGTGGTGAATGGTTGGGTTGGGAATACGATGTTTGGAAACCTTATTCCCTATAGCTGATGCCCTTGCATCTGTGAATTTGTTCATAAATTTTCTGCAGTATTTATAGTCAGGACTAATAATTTTTTAAGCATTTTAAACAGTTTCTTGTCCCCAGTCTCTTTCTTCAATAGATATAGTCTCAGAGACATCGATGTGGATCATCAATTTTCATGAAACCACAGGTTCAGCTGTGTTTAGATGATGAATCACAATCCATTTATAATAAGGCCTGAGTAAACACAGATTAAGTGGAAACAGTTTAGAATTTCTCTGGATAATTCTCTAAACTTAGATTGTGCTAACATTTATAATACTTCACACAATTCATTATTTATGAATCTGTGTATTGGTGTTTCAGTTATTAATTACTCCATGATGCTTTAAACATAATACATGACGTGGTGATGTTTTTTCCTCAGTCTAATCTAAAATGACCCCAAGTCCTCACTTCCAATATCAGGGAGAAGTTCAACAATGTCACTTTTCCTGATTTTCTCTGTTAATGACTTTCCATGTGAATATGAGGAACACAGCACTTGTGCAATCAAATCCAGTCAGAGATGAAGGAAAAATGAGGCCTTCGGTCCTCAGTGGCCACCATGGTTCCTTCGGGGGAACAATGATCCCTTCAGTTCTGCTATTGCGGTTGACTCGCATATGTGCTTACCCCTCATGAAGGACCTTCAACCAACTGTAAGCTGGGCCAGGGACAATCTTCTCTGCTGCTCTAGAGGTTTCTGTATTTCAGGTCTAACTTCCTGAAATATCCACTGATTTACTGCCTCTTTGAGAGATACTGAAGTTCTTTACTGTTTGTAGAACCCACACAAACTAGTTTCCCCCCCCCCAGTCTTCGTGCATTTTTATCAGGATCAGACAATTTTCCATTCCCTCACTATCTTGAAAAATTCCCTTCATCACATTCAGGCACCTGGATTTTAGAAAAAATGCATGTAACGACTCACTTAAAGGCCGGAAGACCTAAACCTTGAAGTTTCAAATGTCTCTGGGCTATTCACAAAGTAACTTAAAACAAAATTAAAAAAAAAAAATCCACATGGGACTTAAATTCTTACATTGCCCAGTACATATTTGCTTTGGATCATTTATTCAAAAATTATATTAAACATTCCCTAGTCAGGAAAACACAGTTTACATAAACTCATTCATACCATGAAAATGTTTTGTTTTCTTTAAAAAGCATTTTCTACCCACCCTGTTTAATCTGCGAAACATCAAGAGGAGGGAATATATTTTTTATTTTTTATTTTTTTTAATTTTTTTTTAGCTGAGCCATCCTGCCACCTGTTGGCAGCTCAGCAGGGGCCAGGACTCAAACCACTGTTGCTCAGAGCTCTCACTCTTGAGCGAGCTCTTAACCAACTGAGCCACCTGGCTGGCCCGGAATATATTTTTTAATGTTTATGATTTCACCTTGCATGTATATTTCTTATTTTCTACATTTGCTATTTCATTCATTCATTCACTTATTCACTCAGCAGTTTTTATTGAATTCTTACTGTGCCCCAGGCACAATACTGAGCTTGGAGAGTAGGTAGTAAAATTATATATATATATATATATATATATATATATATATATATATATATATATACATATATATATACATATATATATATGTATCTATACATAAAATCCCTTTCTCATGATCAACACATGGTTCATTTCTCCAATGTATCTTATACCACTCACTGTTACATAGTTTACCCCACAGATACAGCATATTTCTAATTATCTTCTACATTAAAAGCCTTTTCTTTGGTAGCTCCATTTATATTTAAACTTTTTCTGTAAAGCCTTTCCTAAAAACTGTAAGAGTGTATATCTTTAAAACTGTATCCATTTATTTTGACAGTTAATTTTATTGCAGTTGTTGGTTTAGGTGCTGATCTTTCCTATTAATCTATGAGTTTATCAAATACAGGGAGTAAATCTTAGTTTTCCTTGTATTCTTAATTAAGTAACTACCTGGTAAACAGTAAACCCTCAATATTTAGGAAAGGCAGGAAAGAAGAAAATCATTTATACAGCAGACGGTCTAATTCAACTGCCATCAACAATGAGAAAATTACAGGAATTTAGAAACTAAACTCTCCTTTCTTACATGGGGGTGAAACTGGGAAGAAGTAGGGAGTCATAGTTAAAGATGTTTCATTCACTGGGAGTTTCACAAGCTATGAAAATGTTGTACCTTTTGTGGAAAGAACAAACAAGTACATTCTGGCAATAGAAATTCCTTAACAGAAGAATATCACCCCAGCAAAACATTTCACTGGACCATCACATTTCAACCAGAATGGTCAGACCCCACGGGAGATAGTTGTCTACTGGATCTATTTCATTGATCTCAGATAAAAAGCTGAAAGATCCCCAAAGGTATACCTACTATCTTGTTTGACTTCCAAATAAAATCTATACATGAGCTAGCAGCAATGACAGTTGTGACAGTTCATTTCACAGCCATTTAGGAACAGATGTTGGAAGAGAGAAGGATTATGACCAGCAAACCAAGCTGTAAAAGGACAGGTACCGAGGGAAAGACATGGGAAGAAGAGGAAGGAATGAACGCTAGAGAAGTTTTGCCAATGCAAAGGAGATCTGCTTTAGGGTTCTTGTTTGTTTCACATTCCATCCTCTGACCCGATTGCTAATGAACTGGATGTACTTTCTTAGAAATAATTTTTTAACTTCTTTTCCCCTACATATCTTCATTCTGTCCTGCAGTTATTAAAATGGCATTACCCATAACTGTCTTTTGAAAATGAATACACTCAGAGCAATTTAATTTGCATGATGAAGCCATGGGACTTACGTTCTTTTTTTGTTTCTATGTTTCATTATGACTAACAGAAAAAAATGAAAGTGGAAAATTGTTATAATTATGTTATATAGCACTGTGCTTACATATGATCATTTGAGCTTCATATATGTTGTAGACATTGTTTCTATCCTTCCAAGTTTCTATGCATGAGGTTTCTAGTTGCCACTTGAGTTACATTTGTCTAACAATGTATTTTTAACTATATATGTGTTGTTTCTTATAGAGAAATTGTGAAGCAAGTTGTTCTAAAGATCAGTTCAGGTGTTCCAATGGTCAGTGTATATCGGCAAAATGGAAATGTGATGGTCATGAAGACTGTAAATATGGAGAAGATGAGAAAAACTGTGAACCAGGTAAAATAATTGAGGTGATATTAAATTTAGTTGATATTTCAACTTGATAGAATATAGGTGTGAATAATGATATTCAGAAAATGGTGGCACATGCATGCACAGATTTCTGTTTTTTAGAAATAATCTAAAATATCTGTACATAGATTAATTGGTGTGCCCTTCATATGTTTTGAAAGTGTTTCAGTAGATAAGATTGTTATTGTGTTCAAGATCCAAGCAGTCTTCCTAAATTTGATTTTCTGGTTTCTATACCTTTCCATAACATTTGGGGTTATTTATTCAAGACATCAAAATGAAATATGATGAAACTGTAACTATGACAAAAGTAAGGATTTTCAATTAGGGAAATTAAAATTATGAAACAGAATGTAGTAATTTCAACATGATACCAACTAAGAAAAAGCAGAAGTGTATTATTTTTACTTACATCTTGGTCCAAAATCAAAATAAAATTAGAAAGCAAAACCAGAGTACAGGAAAAAAACACCCAATCTATGCATTTCTATTTCTTAAATATGGCCTGTAAATATGCTTATTAAAACTTAATTTTTATCCTTAGATATTTTAAAAACATTACCTCATAGAAAGAAATCACTAGGGAAATTATACTATAATTTGTGTATAACCATGAAAGCATTATTTTGAGAGACTCGGTCAAAATAGCAGATTCAAGGCACACACATTAACATGCTCCAGTACCATGCTCATTCCCATACAGCTAATTGATCAGATCTTTCCTCTTACTTAATCCAGACGGATTTTCAGACTCCTTAATACTGCAAATCCCTAGGCAAACATTGTCAATTTACAGAAATTAAAACAAAAGGAAAAATCTTTTTAACATCCCTGGGATGAGCAAGTCAGACCACAAAGTCATCGAGCAGATTTGGCTAACTAATGGCCTAATATAAGGCCAAGAACCCCAGAGGTTTGAATGGAAGCCTGACAAACTCAAACCTGATAATTCGTATAGCTGTTAATTAGATTGGGCACTGGGAAGATCTTATTTATCTACTTGTTATTTTTATTTTCTATATCATAAAGGAATATTTCAAATTCTGTAGATTCTTTTATTGTTAGTTTCAGGTGTACAGAACAATGCAATCATTATCTTTTTCATCCCTCACAAAGTAACAATCCCCCTCCCCCTATCCACTGCCCTCTCACCCCCGATATCATGCTTATCTATTACAATTTGACTCTTAATTATACGTATTGGGTTGTCGGAAGAGTCATGACTTATTTTTTGTATATTTTTTGTTGCAAAATGCATCATGACTTTTCTGACAACCCAATATATTCATATTGAAAACACCAAAACAAATATCCCTCTTGAAACTGATACAGATATGATATTTATGTCAACATAACCAAGTAGATATCACAGTGTCTAGGAGACCCTGCCAAGATTCCCACTTTTAGATTTATATAATGCATATATGAATTAACATTCCCCAGTATGGATAAATCCTATTACACTTTTGAAAATAATATAAGGCTATTATCTTTTAAATAATTTAATCTAAAATTATGAAAAATGTATTTAACTCTTCAAACTCAAAGAGAAGGAGGATAAGGAGGTTTTCATTTTCCTTTTTTCTTTAGATGAGTGAGTTTAATTCTTACTGAACAGGCTATTGTATCATTGCGGCATATTTAATGCAATGCAACAATAATATAAAGCACATTTTAAACAAATATTTACTATCAAATGTTGAATATAGTTGAAATGATATAAACTATCTTCATTACTATCCATAACATTTGATATGCTTATATATGTTTTTATCAAACCAGTCATGCTTTTCACTGAATCTAAATCTCCACTTATAATTACATTCAGCATCTCCTACTTGTTCATCAAGTGAATATATATGTACCAGCGGAGGATGTATTTCAGCATCTTTGAAATGTAATGGAGAATATGATTGTGCTGACGGTTCCGATGAGGTAAGATCTATAATTTGGTTAAAGTCTCTGAATTACATGAATTCGATTTGGGAAAGCAAACATAATAAAAATAAAGAGACAGAATCTGGATTCTCAGCGCTGTCTAAAATCTTAGGACAAGTACATTAAATACAGTAATTTCCACAAGCACGTGAAACTTCATGCTGTCTGTATACTAAACCCCATTGTCATTTGTAGAGGTTGTAGTCATTAATTCAAAATAAAAGAAAGCCCACAGTATCATAAATCTCCAGTATTGTCAGCTGCATGTTTATTTTGCCTGTGATTGTATCGTTATCATTAATAAAAACTGCAGTGCCTTTTGTATTTGCACAGATGGACTGTGTGACTGAATGTAAGGAAGATCAATTCCAATGCAAAAATAGAGCCCACTGTATCCCAATTAGATGGCTGTGTGATGGAATTCATGATTGTGTGGATGGCAGTGATGAAGAGAACTGTGACAGAGGTAAGGTATCTGCGTGTGTGTGTGTGTGTGTGTGTGTGTGTGTGTGTGTGTGTGTGTGCGCGCGCGCACGCGCCGTAAATAAGAGAATGGCAGTTAAGGTGCTGTAGAGAATATGTGGTATGTTAGAGGCAGAGGAGAGGATCATTAACTGCTTCTATTTATTCTTTTTCTAAATAAGCAAAATCTGGATCATCAGAGTAGAACGTCAATCTTTATACACCAGCGGCAACCAAAATGCAAGTGTCTATTGAGTGCCCACCATGAGTGTGACTTTTGATTAGCTGCTAGGTCAGGGATAGGGATACTAGAAGAACACAGGGAACGTGGGCACTAGAGCCAATGACAAAAGTGTTTTTAGAGTACACTTCTACATCGCTTGCCTTATTCTGAGTGAATAAAAACAGCATATGGCATACTATATTACACATACTAATGTGCTAGTTCATATGTAGGTTATAGGTTGTGTCCCAGATTTCCTTTTTGCCATATGGTTGAGAAAATGACCTACATTTTTTTATCAGTCTGGAAGACAACTGTGGGTTATGTAGTATATTATTTTCCAGCTAGGTGAAAGTATTTCCTGACAGTTAACAATTTTTTTAGTTTTAAGTCACCACATTAAAAGCAGTAATTGTTACTGCTTTAGAATTAATGAAATGAAAGCGAAGAAATTGTGTGGTGAAACTCATAATGACCAGAAGTTACATAATTCTTATTGTTTTCATAATGTTAAATATATCATTTAAGTAAAAAATATTTAACCTGCTTGCAAAAGTATCTCAATGGACTTTATATTTTGAATATTTTGAATATCAACAGAGATGATACCAGATATTGGCATATGTTGCAAGGCATTGGAACAGGCACTCAGGGTGTATATGGTTTTAAATGTATCTAAAATATGTATTTCTGTAAATATTTAGTCACTCAGGGAAAAATATTTTCTACTTTCTCTAATATTACATCAAATCTTTATAATTTGGTAATATTTCTGTTCCTAAACCTGATAAAGTATTGCTATATACAGAAGAGAAAATCCTAGTTCTCATTTGGAATCTGCGGTACATTATAGAAAGCCAGAAAAGGCTAAACTTCCATAATAGCTATTTCTACTTTTGGTTAATTTGTCACATTCACTTTCTATAACTGGTCACTCTAGAGACAGCAAACTTTGTGGATAGTCTGTCACTAACAATCTTATGTAGTCTAATGCACAAAGACTTTGAGACAAAAAATTAAGTTATTCCTCTTTTTCCATTTCCTAGCTAGTAAGCTCCACCCCCTCAACTTCAGTCACTGTCATCAGTATTTCTTTCTCCCTTTGCTTCTTTCATCAATACATTCTACTCATTGTTACTAGATTCATCTTATTATATTTATGTGTAACTCTGATTATGCCAATCTTGACTCAAAGTTCTTCCTTCCTGGTTATATACAAATAACTCACCCTGGTAGTCAGATTTACATGAGATGGATGCCATTTTATCTCCACAGTCTTGTATTTCACTACTGCTCTTTATGTATCATATATCCTAGCCAAACTGGAAATATTCTAGCAACACCCTACATGCTTTCAACATGTTTCCTGATTCTTCTGTTATTTCCACCACCTCGATCAATACCTTCGCTAGTAAAATGCTATCTATCCTTTTAAGTTCATCTCGATTGCTACTGACTTCAACCAAATTGTCGTGTTTTTTTCCAATGTCCCTAGCCACTCTCTGATTGCATGTGTGGTATCATAGTCTTCGTTGTATTATAATGACTTCTGTATTACTTGACTAAGTTTCCTCTGTTGGAATGTGAGTTTCTTGATGCCAGTGATTAGGTATGCGAACAGAACAAGGAACGACATTTCAGACAGGGAATCCTTATTTACAAACTCACAGAGGTGAGGGACAGTTTAGCTTTTTAGAACCACAGTAACTGAAGATTTATGCTATAATACTTGGTTTTAATATCAAGCATAATGACAAGTTTTTCAAGGCTTTTAAAGAATCTTCAAATATATTTTTAAAAATATATAAATGTGTTGATAGGATTTGTACTATGCAATAGCACAGAGAATTTACTGAAATGGGAATCAGGAGATCTAGTTTCTTTTCTTATCTTCACGAACCTTTCTGTGCTCATTTTTTCATATTATCAAAGCCAACCACAATGAAATGCCTTCAAGAGCTGTAGGAATATCAAGAAAGTGAGTATGTATGTGTGTCTGGGGAGGGGGACAGTCTCGTCAGGATTTATCTATATTTTTTTAAATAATTGGATTTCATAAGAACTGTTTGGACAAAGGAACCCAGGTTAAAAAAAAGAATCAAACAATACAGTAAAAAAAACTAAACATTATACTATATGAAATCTAAAGTGTCTTTTAGATTTAAAATTATTCTATTAAATATTTAAAGTTATTGAATTGTGAGTTGAGAGTCTTTAATTCAATCATTTTGAAATGTGTCAAAGCTTCCCTTCCTTCTCTACTCATACCTCTAACTTTTCTTGAGTTTTTGTTGGTGCTTTTACTTTGTTGTTTTTTTTTCTCCTGCTGACTAATTACATTCCAGTGAAATATCTTGGTGGTTAAAGTATTTGATCCTGCACTGATGTACCTTAAGGCATGGTCAAGTTCATATTTCTAGTATTTAATTTATGTCTGGGAAGTGGTTTGGGTATTAAATAAATGCATATCAAGGCATTAAGAAAATGGAATGCATGAATAAATACCTCTTCCATTAACTCTAACTTCCATTCATCTCAAATCTAGAACTATGAGCTAACCAGGGCTGAGTGTTAGGGGCTAGATAAGCATGGAACATTTTCCAAGTGAAGCAGTTTTACTGGTTTACTTTAAAAAGACTAAAACCCCAAATACTATGGAATTAAAAGCAGTATTTACATTTTTAAAGATGAAACATGTTGCCTCAGGCAACTTTGTGTTCCTTTTGGCTTGAGGTCCCAAACTTTACTCCTTATGGCAATTTTGGTGGAAAAGATTGCTCTTTTTAGTAATCATCAGCTTAAAAATGTGTACATTATGTATGGAAATTATAAAATATTATCATATATTACAGCTTCTGTCAACCCACATTAGGATGAGAATTCCAGATGCTTATTTTCTGTAGTGGTGCACTTGCCCAGATTTTTATGAACATGCCAAGGGCTCATGTATATTTAAACATAGGTTATTGTTCATTAATATATGTTTTTATATTCTAATAAACCTCCTGTAGACCTGATCAAGAAAATGACTAGGAAACTGGGATTTTGGTTCAGCCAATCTCTTTTAAATTACACCTTTTTTATTGTTTATACTTGCTTCATGCCATTTCAAAATAAGCATTTTAAGTTAGATTCAGGAGGTCATGGTGGCCACCATGGTGCATTTTTTTGAAATACAAATTCTTTATAGTACAATAGGAAGCCTTTAGTAGGTTATCATATAACCTTTACCTTTCTGTTACAATTATGATTTCGTCTCTATGTCTCTTCTTAATAAAATAGTGGCACATCCAAACTCTCATGAGAAAAAAAACCTGTCATCTAATGTGATACTTTAGTAAACTCATTTTTTTTCCTGTCAACAATACTGATGTGCTACAAATAAGAGTTTTCTAAAATAATCAGAAGATGTTGAGTTCAAAAATTTTGTTTGTATGTAATCTGTTGTAGAATGGAACATGCAATGAGATTTAAACAGTAGAATCTTTAATCTAAAAGAACACAAGTCTTCTTTATAGTCTATTGATTTTGATATTGAATTAAGCCAACATTCATATCTTAAGGTTCTTTAGAACTGAAGACTGCACATTTTATCTTTGTTATTGTTTTCAGACAGAAAATTGTTAAGTAGTAATATATTTTATTGTGTGGGTTCTGGTAATTGATATTATTTTTAGAATTAGGGCATTTTGGAGATGAACATTGTAGATGTTTGAAAGAAAGGGGCACCCCGATGCCAGATATTCTACTGTTAGAAGTCTCACATGGTGATATTCAGTTCACCCTTATGTTCTCAACAAAGACCTTCCTGTATCTGTACCTGAGAGTCTGTTAGTCTTCAGAAATGCCTGTGTAAGATGTGCCAGTTCTGTTAAGCATTTTTGCAGAAAATCTTACAACTGTTCTGACTGATAACACTAATTTATTAGTCTCAGCTTTGATTATCACTCAAGATTCTAAGCAATCTACCTGTGTTTCTTTAATCACCTCCCTTTAACCATATCAGATTTTTAATGAGTTTGCTTTCTTTCTTATCTTCTATTTCACAGCAATAATAAATCATGACCTTTTTTCAAAATCTGGCAACCAAATTAACAAAGATACCTAGAGCTGTGCCTAGCCATTCCTCCTACCTTCTTACTGAAATGGAAGACATGTCTCACCTTTATTTTAAGGATAATCTTTTTATTTTGCTTTAGATCTCAAATTCTTCACAATTTCTGAATTCTCAAGGAACTCATTATATCAATTACCTGTTTTCTCCCATATCCTCAACCTTACTTTGTGCATCGAATTATTTTCAGAAGCATTTAAATGTGTTCAGATACTTGTTTTCCTTCATACAAGTAACTACGCTCTTACCCACCCAAATTTTCTCCTTCTTTTCTTCCTTTAAGGCCAAACATCTGGAAAGATATTACTGTGCTCACTACTACTTCTTTACCTGACAATAACAAACAACAATTATTTCCTATATCCACCACCACTTCACTAAAACTACCCTGTTAGCATTATTATAAAGAGCCTACCATGGCCTTCTAGTTAGAACACTTTTCAGGTGTTTCTCCAACTGCTCTGGCTACTTCTACTCTTATGAACTCCTCTTTATGCATCCTTTATTTAAATACTGATTATCTCTGTGTTCTCTTCTAAACTTCAAATAATAACAACATTTGATCATTTCCAAATCTACATTTACAGCTTAGAAACTTATCCCATATTTCAGACATATTTATCCACTAATCTGCTAAATATCACCACATGGTTGTCTTGGCAGTACCTTAAGCGAATTGCCATTATTTCGGTTAATTCTACTCCCCCTGCTGTGTTTCTTTATGTATTGAACAACACCAACATTCATCAAATTGTCCAAATAAACAAAAAATTGAGTATTGTTTGACTCTGCTCTCCGTTGCCACACTTATCTATTTAGCTATCAGATCCTAAGGATTCTATGTCCTGAAGAGCTCTCAAATATAGCTACTCTAAGTCATATTACCATCAATTATTTTCTGGATTGCTGCAACCACCATACAAATTGGTCTTTTTTTTTTTTTCTCCAATATTGTCTTTACTCTTCGTATCTTGGTTTCCACACTATAGCTACTGTTAATCATTCTAAAATCCAAATCTGATTCTGTCATTCCCTAAGTTAGATCTTTGCTACTGGAAGTGAATTATTAGAGATTTGTGTGCAAGTCAAAATTCAAAACAAGAGTTATTTGACCCTCACAAATCTAGGTTCATTATTCCCTCTAAAGAGCATTCACAAGATGAGCACTGCTTTTCCTAGGTATTTTCTAGGCTTGAAAGCATGAGCACTATCACTCTCCATCCCCATGTTTTAATGAACATATCCTTTTAAGATATGTCAATACCTTCAATCATCATCTAGCCATTGTAGAAACCATGCTTCTTATCTTATGTATGAGCTTTACATAGATAATGTAATTTTTTTACAGCAATCTTATTTATATTAATTCTAAATTTCCATCAAGTTTCTTTGTGTTGTTTCCCCAGGCACAGCTTGCAGATATGACCTTATAAATCACCTTAAACAAATCTCATTTGTAATATATGAGGACATTGAGTTCCAGAGAAATTAATAGACTTGTCCAAAGCTAAACAAAGCAAGTTCCTAATGCCCCAACCATTGCAGTTTCCACTGTATATTGCTACATATCTAGACATATAAGTAACACTTATTAGTACTTTGTGTCCTTTGCATGTAGTAAATGTACTTAATTTTAAGTTAGAATATCCCTGTATTCTTGATGCTATTTAACTGTGAAAAGAGGAAAAATGCAAACGTTTAAAAAATACAAAAAAATAGAGTAAACTATTGTACTATTCTTATAAGAATAACTCTACTGTTTTACCATATTGACAATTTCTCCCTTTCATTAGAAAATGAATTGGTTTTTTTTTTTGACTACCAAAACTTTTTACTGGTATTCTGCTTTCAATAACTCAGTTTGACAGTTTATAGATACAGCTGAATTATCTAAATTTTTGGTGTCTTTTCTATACAGAACAATACAATTTTTAATACTGAAAATTTATACATTTAAAAATTGAAGTTTCCTTACACTTGGTAACATAAAACATATGTGGAAAAACTTTTGATTTGACAAAACTTTCTTCAACCATTTCATCAATATTCTTTAAACAAAGTATGACATACATAATGGTAATGTCAGATTGTTTTGAAAAATCAACCATGAATACCTTTATAGAAACAATTTGGACATTACCTGTCCCTAGTACAGAAAAAAAAATGTGTATATATATATATATATATATATATATATATATATATACACACACACACACACACTTATATATTTATTCTTTGCTAAGAATTAGAGGAGTATGTGTCATGCTGACTGACTTTATGCGATATCTCTATTTCTCTTTTTTTGTTTTGAATTAAAGGAGGAAATATATGTAGAGCAGATGAGTTCCTTTGCAATAATTCCCTTTGTAAACTACATTTCTGGGTGTGTGATGGAGAAGACGACTGTGGAGACAACTCCGATGAAGCCCCTGAGATGTGCGGTATGACATTTCATGTGTCCCTGTATTGTGCTCTCATCTCCTTATCTAAGGTGTTGGCATGGATCAAGTGAGATGACCCATGAGATGAACCACAAATTCTACAGTTCTGGGCTTAAGTATATCAAATATAACCACAGGTACAGGTTTTGTTCAGGTTGTAAAAGATACTCTGTTCAAAGTTTATGACTTTATAGAGAGTCCTCCTTCATCCGAACTTCCACATGTCAACACTATTAGATTATGGTCTGTCTGAGAGGAGTTAGAGCAAGTGACCTTTTGAATTGAGTAAGGTTCATATAAGAACTTTGGCTTCCTACCAGATTGGTGCTTTAGTAGTTCCAAATGTCACAAAATATTGATGTAAAGATATAGATACATAATACAAATGATTGGCAAATGAATAAAATTAGGAATTATTTAATATTTAAATCTGAAAATCTTTAAAAAAGTTATTGATTCTAATTCAGGATACTCTTGACTGAACATGTATGCAGCCAACAACTATAAATGTATAATTTTAGATAATCAAAATAAAAGATGTCATATATTTGGAAAATATTTTTAGTCCCTATTCTCATCATTTGTATCTAATTTCAGCAAGAAAGGTATGTAATTTCTCCTCTAATTTAAAGCTGCCACTACTTCAGATATAACTTAATAGCACATCAGGTAAATTAAAGAAAACAGCATGAATGTATGTACTTAAATTCTTTGTTCTGTTTGATACATCAAGTTAAACCAATATAGATGATGGTTACAGTTAAATAAGAAGTCCATGAAAGCAGCTTTTTAAAAAAAAAAAACATTTAAAATTTAAAAATGTATTTGGAGAATGTTCTCTGTAGGTACAACTGATGGGAGATTATAACTAAGTTTCAGTTTCAGTTCTTTACATAGTCTTATAAAGTGGACTCTAGAAAATCACCAGACAACTATACATGAAAAAATATTAGTTTATTTAGCTAGATCAAACCAGTACCTATTATTTTTATGAGATATGTTTTTTGGTTTTGGATTTTTTTTTTCTATTCTTGGTTCCACTTCAGCATAAAACTAGTGGATAGAATAGGAAATGTTTTGGTAACTAATTAACCATAGGAGTCTTCAGAGCCACACCCCCCAGGACCACTTCCAGGGCCTGGAAATGATTCTCAGTGACATGCCATACAACTGCTGGGAAATTTGTAAAAATATGTCAAGCTTGATTCTCTGAATGATTTTTGCATTCCTCTCAGTCATCAGTGTCAACATCAAGTCAAACTATTATGTACCAGCAACTGTGCTAAGTATTTCTGATAAAAAAGTGAACAGCACATGGTTCTTTTTGGCAAGGAGATATAATTCTGGTTAGATAAATATATTTTCCATACATTGTATTTCCAGCAGTGGCAGGATTAAGTAAAAGGTACAGACAAGGCAGAATGGCATGAGATGAACTCTGCCTAAAGGGGAATTCAGAAAACTACAGTTCTGAAGGACCTATACTAAAAGGCACCATAGGCATAGTGAATAGTGTGGAGAAAAAGTATTTACTCATTAAGTAAATATTTAGTAGCTAGATATTGTGGTTATTTTTGGTGATAAATGATGAGGGAAACGAACATGGGCCCCAACTTCACACTGCTGAAAATCTAGTGGAAGAGTGAAACTGATCACAAAAATATGTAGGCACAAACTATGATACACACATTGACGTAAAAGTATGGTAAATTGTAAACATGTAGAATGGAAAGATTTTATTCAATCTGGAGTGAGAAATAACACTATAGTTTGAGACTGAGAGCCAAGAAGGTGAAAGGGATGTGTGTGTGTGTGTGTGTGTGTGTGTGTGTGTGTGTGTGTGTGTGTGTATACGTATGACACAACACTGTAGGAAAAGGAAAGGCCCTGAGGCAGAGCAAACCCTCTCTTACTGGAGGAACAGAACGAGATAGGCATTGGCTTAGGATGAAACTGAAGAGACAAGAGAGATACCCGAAACCTTGTGAGTTTTGGAAGGGATTTTTATTATTACTCTAAAAGTGATTAAGAATACTAAATAATTTTAACCGGAGAAAGTACATGGTAATATTTACATGTATATTTTACAAATATTGGCTAGAAAGGAACAAGGCTAGTTAAGACAATTGCATGACTGTAAGCGAGCTACAGTGATAACTTAAAATAATGACAGCACATGATGGCAAAGTATACACAGATTTGAAGGTGATTTAAAAGGCAAAATTAATTGGATTACATAATGGATGGTGTATAGGAAGCAAGGGAGAGGAAGTTGCCAAATGTAATTTATAGGGTGTTTTTTGCTTGCACAATTGAATTAGATGGAGAACATAGGAAGGGGAACAGTTTTGCAAGTAAGATTTAAAGCCTGGTTTGAGATGCATTTGAGGAGTTTGAGGAGTTGCTAAGTTTGAGAGTTAGTATAAAATGTGATAATAAACACTATGAAATGTGTGAGAGTGAGGCCGGGTGGGCGTAAAGCATTAGAGAAGGGATTAGGATAGCATACTGAGGGATACCAAGAATCTAAATAAATATGAGAAGTCAGAAAAGACTTATGTGAATGACCATAAAAGAATTAGCAAAACAACAACAGCAAAATAGTGCATCAAAAGAAATGCCAAGGTAAGAAAATGTTTCAGGCCGGCAGAGTGGCACATTGGTTAAGAGCTGGCTTGGGACGCCAGAGGGCCCTGGTTCGAATCCCACATATGAGGGCCAGTGACACTGACCTCTACAGCTAAGATGCTGAACAACAGCTCAACCTGGAGCTGGGCTGCAGTGAGTCACTCACGGGTGGTATAGGCTGCAGCCCCTGCTGCAGTGAGTTGCCATGGGCACCCGTGTATAGCCGGCAGCCAGCGTGAGCTGTCCTCCACAACTAGACTGAAGGACGAAAGGACAGCAACTTGTGTGTTACCCTTCCCCCAATTCCCCAGCGCTGTTCCCGTCCTCCAATTCTCCAATAAAAGTCTTTAAAAAAAAAAAAAAGAAAAAGAAAAAGAAAATGTTTCAAGGAAGATGGAATGGTTTCTGAAGAAGCTGGGGAAAATGAGTTTTAGCACAGGTAAAAAAACTAGTTTTAGATAAGAATAGTGACCCACTTCTCTGTTATTAAAAAATGTTGAAATGAGTTGAAAGAGTTGATAGACTATGTGTAGATTCAGGTAGATGTGCAGTCATGTAATAAGATGTTAACAAATTTCCCATCTTTTTATTTCTATTTTCTTTAATGTATGCAGTAGGAAGCACATTCATATAGAAAATGTGGAAGGTTGGTGTTATAGAGGTTTGAAAGAAATGCATACACGTATATTTGAATCATTGCAAAAAGTAAGAGTGACATGGATGCAGATATATATGATTTGCAATTTACAAGAATATTCAGGGCCCATTTGGCACTTATAAATAATTATATTTGTAGTATCACTTAGCCTGGTGTTATGATGACCTGTAAAATTTCTGAATTTCCCAGATGCAGTGTATAGCATAAGATAGGTTACCAATAATTATTTATCAAATGATTTTTTATTAGAAGATGGGAAATGGAATCTAATGTCAATAGAGAAGTAAAGACAAAAAAGGCATTGGTAAATAGGTCAAAGGTAACTGTGACTGGGTTAAGGCTGAGGTTTCAGCGTTATATTTCAGCTAAGGCTGAGGAAGGGTCTTAATGAGAGTGGCTGAATTAAAAAGATGCAAAAGTAGGAGAATGTGATCAGAATTTGGAGCACTCAAACTACTGGCTTTGGAAATGAAGCAACTGGAGGAAATAGCAAATACAGCTGCCCCCATGTGTACCAATTAGTGTTCCTATCTGCAAGCATCAGGAACTGTCAAAGATTGAATTAAGAGAAATTTGTTCAAATCAACCAATGGCCACAGCCTCCTAGAAGAGAGGGTGGCCTAGGTGATTTAGAGTAAAAGGATATTGGATATGAGAAATTCAAGGACCTGAAAGGCTCAGTTAATGATTCGTTTGCTCATTTGGATGTTGAAACCATCTAGGATGGTGGAATGAATTTGAATGAGGAAAAATAACACTGAGAGCAGGTGCTACAATCTTCAGTGAATTTAAGGAGGGAGTGATATTAATGAAGTTGATGAGAAAATAGAAATAAGAAAGAGGCATTATCAAATGCTTGACCCTCAAAGTAGCACTTTTTGGTTTTCCGTTTATTTTAAATAATGTCATATGAAGGTGTGGTTACAAAGTTTTGGAAGCAGTAGTAGGAAACTATATCTTTTTATAATTATTTTTTTATTGTTAGTTTCAGGTGTACAGAACAATGCAATAGTTATCCTTTCACCCTTCGCACAGAAACAACCCCCCTCCCCCATCTACTGCCCTCCCACCCCCAATATCATGCTTATCTATTACAATTCCACTGACTCCATTCCCACACTCTACTTCACATCCTGTGACTACATGTATGTATAATTATAGTTGCCATACAATATTATTCAACATCACCTTCAGAAATACAGTGTGGTGGTTAGGCCCCTACAGCAACTATGAAGTGGTCTCCCTAACGAGACATGAGTCCATCAGGCCCCATAAAATATTTATAACATTATTGATTATATTCCCCAAACTGTCTTTTCTATTTCAGAGGCCATATTGTAGTTACCAATTTGTAATGTCTCACCCCTTCTCCTTCATCCTTACCCTCTCCCAACTAGCAACTCTGTTTTTCCTCTGTGTCTCTGAGACTATTTCTGTTTACATTTCTCATTTATTCAGTTCTTTAGAATCCATGTATAAGTGACATCATATGGTATTTGTCTTTCTCTGACTCACTTATTTCACTTGGCATAATGTTGTCTAGTTCCATCCATATTGTTGCAAATGGTACTATTTCCTTCTTCTTTATAGCTGAGTAATACTCCATTGTGTAAATAGTTTCTTAATCCAGTCATCTACCAATGGGCATTTCGGTTGTTTCCAAGTTTTAGCTATTGTGAATAGCGCCGCAATGAACATAGGGGTGCATATATTTTTTTCTGATTAATGTCTTGGGTTTTTTTGGATAAATACCTAAGAGTGGAATTGCTAGGTCATAGGGCAGTTTCATTCCCAGTTTTTTGAGATACCTCCATACTGATTTCCATAATGGCTGCACCAATCTGCAGTCCCACCAACAGTGCACCAGGGTTCCCTTTTCCC